GATCCTGAGAAACTCAACAGAAACCCATGGGGGAGGGGAAGGAAAAAACAAAGAGGTTAGAGTGGAAGAGAGCCAAAGCATAAGAGACTCTTAAAAACTGAGAACAAACTGAGGGTTGATGGGGGGTGGGAGGGAGGGGAGGGTGGGTGATGGGTATTGAGGAGGGCACCTTTTGGGATGAGCACTGGGTGTTGTATGGAAACCAATTTGACAATAAACTTCATATATTGAAAAAAAAAGAAATAGTTTGGGAAGAATAGTTATTAACTGTTTTTTAAATGTTTGGTAGATTTTGCCTGTGAAGCCATCTGGTCCTGGACTTTTGTTTGTTGGGAGTTTTTTGATTACTGATTCAATTTTATAACTGGTAATTGGTCTGATCACATTTTCTATTTCTTTCAGCTTCAGTTTTTGTTGTTTATATGTTTCTAGGAATTTATCCATTTCTTCTAAGTCGTCTAATAAGTAGGCATACAGTTTTTCATAATGTTGTCTTACAATTGTTTGTGTTTCTGTGTTGTTGGTTGTTATTTTTCCTCTTTTGTTTGTGTTTTTGTTTATTTGAATTCTCTCTCTCTCTCTCTGATGAGTCTGGCTAGAGGTTGATCTATTTTGTTAATCTTTTCAGAGAACCAGATCCTCGTTTCTTTGAGGTGTTCTATTTTTTTAAATCATTTATTTCTCCTGTAATCTTTATTATCTCCTTCCTTCTGCTGGTTTTGGGTTTTGTTTGTTCTTCCTTTTCTAGGTCATTTAAGTGTAAGGTTAGGTTGTTTGAGATTTTTCTTGCTTTGATGTACGCTTATATTTCTATTTACTTCCTTCTTGGGGCTGCTTTTCCTGCATCCCAAAGGTTTTGGACTGTCATTCATTTCCACTTGTTTACATGTATTTTTTTTTAAATTAATGTTTTATTTATATTTGAGAGACAGAGAGACAGAGAGCAAGTGGGGAAGGGGCAGAGAGAGAGGGAGACACAGAATCTGAAGCAGGCTCCAGGCTCTGAGCTGTCAATGCAGAGCCCAACAAGTGGCTTGAACCCACGAATTGTGAAATCATAACCTGAGCTGAAGTTGGATGCTTAACTGATTGAGCCACCCAGCCCCTCCTGTATCTCTGTATCTTCCTATTTTCTTTCTTTCTTTCTTTCTTTCTTTCTTTCTTTCTTTCTTTCTTTCTTCTTTCTTCTTCTTGATTTCCTAGTTGACCCATTCATTGTTTAGTAGGATGTTGTTTAACCCCCATGTATTTGTGGTCTTTCCAAATATTTTTCTTGTGGTTGACTTCTGGTTTCATAGTGTTGTGGTCAGAAAAGATGCATGGTATTATTTCAATCTTTCTGTATTTGTTGAGGCCTGATTTATGACCTAGTATGTGATCTATTCTGGAGAATTTTCCATGTACATTTGAATGTGTATTCTGCTGTTTTAGTTGTTTTAGTTCTGAATATCTGTTAAATTCATTTGGTCCAGTGAATCATTCAAAGTCACAGTTTCCTTATGTTCTTCTGTTTAGATGATCTGTCCATCAATGTAAGTGGGGTGTTAAAGTCTCCTACAATTATTGTATTACAATGGGTTAATTTAGTTCCTTTATGTTTGTTTTTAACTGTTTTTTTTTTAAAGTTTTTTTTTAACGTTTATTTATTTTTGAGACAGAGAGAGACAGAGCATGAATGGGGGAGGGGCAGAGAGAGAGGGAGACACAGAATCAGAAGCAGGCTCCAGGCTCTGAGCCATCAGCCCAGAGCCCAACGTGGGGCTCGAACTCATGGACCGCGAGATTGTGACCTGAGCTGAAGTCGGACGCTTAACCGACTGAGCCACCCAGGCGCCCCTGTTTTTAACTGTTTTATATGTTTGGGCACTTCTATGTTGGGTGCACAAATATTTATGATTATTATATCTTCTTGTTGGATTGTGTCCTTTATTATTATATAGTGTCCTTTTTGCTTCTTTTTACAGTCTTTGTTTTAAGGTCTATTTTACCCAATATAAGTATTGCTACTCTGGCTTTCTTTTGATATCTATTTTCATGATAAATATTTCTTTAGTTCCTCACTTTCAATATGCATGTGTCTTTAGGTCTGAAATGAGTTCTTGCAGGCAGCATATAGATGAGTCTTGTTTTTTAAGCTGATTCTGTCACTCTATAATACTGAGGATTCTGTTTGCTTTGCTCTAGTTGTGCTTCTGGGCCTGTGCTTGACTCTCATAGTGGGAATAAAGGGATAGCCATAACCTTGGTGGTAACAAGGCTAACACTGAGTTGCTAATTGCAGGTTGGTGTGAGATCAGCAGAAGACAGCATGACTGAGCTAAACTGGCAGCAAACTCACCAGTGATCGTGTAAATAGCAGTTATAGCCAAGAGGATGAAGATTGCCAGGTAAAGGTCCAATCCCAAGGCCAGCTTGATGAATATGGCTCCAGAAAATATGTCTGACTAAAAAGGGAATAGGATGGGAAAGAAACATGCACCACATCATTTAGCTCTTTAGTGATGATTTCCCACTAATATTTGCTGTATCTATACATGACATCTCTGCAATACAATTATGAACTCCTTGGAAGCCAGATCTAATCCTCAGGGGATTAATTATTGGACTGATCATAGATAGGAACAATGGGTGAGTGAACAGAAAGTAAGAAATGTCTATGCTATAGCTTGCATAGACTACTCTTTCATGATTGTCAGCAGAGAAACAATGATTAAAAGTAGAGTAGTATGAGACAGTAAAGCAATGGTTTCTGTTAAGGAGGAAGATACTTGAGCACACTTAGGATAGTAGAAAATAACAGGAAAATATGATAGAGGGGGTAATTATGAAGCAAATGCCAGAAACATTGAGAAGAGATGGGATCAAGAATAGGCATAGGGTCAAGTGTTAGCCTTTTACAAAAAGGAAGACTCTTCATCTTCAGACTGGTGTAAAGAAGGAAAGAATGAGGCAAATGTAGATTTTTTAAGTGGGGGATGAGTGGTTCATGCTTAAATTTTCTAGATAAAAAGGGAGATGAGATGTTTTGATAAGAGGCAGAGGACTAGTAGTTAAAAAAGGTTGTGGATCATTTAGGACAGTTATTGAGAGCACCAGAGAAAAATCATAAAGAAATACAATAAAAGGATTATTGGTTGAGGTTTAGAGGCCAGGAAGGGGTCCTACAGAGAGACCTTAAGATATAAGACCATGTGCACCCTGCACTACCTTGATCCCTGTGTCCCAAAGTGTGCTTTCCAGCCTCCTGGATCTTCAACACAAACTTGTGCTAGCCTCACTTGGATCTGCCCCTTCAACTCTGATCCTCCCAGATTCCATATCAAAACCTCCAAACCAAACCAAAACCCTAGAAACATCACATAAGCATGTTAGTTAGAAACACAGGAGTAAAATCCCTGGGTGCATGCACAGAGTAAGTGGGAAGCTGGATTAAACCAGGTTTGGAGTTTTTCTAGGGGAGTTCAATGAAAGGAAAGACATGCAAAGAAATTGAGGCTATGTGCCAAAGAGTGATTATAAAGATGGAATTGAAGAAAAAGGAAAGCATGAGTGAGGTGAGGGAAAGGATAAGATATCAGGATTCAGAATTAGAAGAATTAGAGGTAGGTTTCTTTGCAGAACATGAATTTGGAAGTGGTGTCACAGTATATGGTTAACTTTCCCCCCTAATATTTGAAATAAAACCTAATGTTTTATCATCCCAGTAGGTATTTGTATGGGTGAAAAGCCTATTCTTGAACCTAACGCTGAGTTACAAACCCAAAGTACTTTCTGCAACTTTATCACTGGGTTTACAAGGAGTTCAACCACTATGTAAATTGAGGCAAGATTTAACTTTTTATAAATTGGATATTTGCAAAGAAATTATTTACCATTTTAGAATAGATATCACCTACTGAGATGTCACTCATTGCATTTCAATTGCTATAAAACACACCTGCATTTGTCTGCATTTATAGCTGTCATGTTCATACAGATTTACATAGTGGGGAGTTATTCAACTACAGCATTAGGGCTTGTATATTCATGCTGAATCATTTACATATGAAAACACATATTATCATATTATGAGTTTCTTGACTTTCTTCTCTCTTATATAGTATAATGAAAGCATTAAATTAATATTTATAAAATGATATATAAACATATTACCAATGATTTTTTTATGGTGGCAAGATAAATAACATAAAACTTGCCATTTTTGCATGTACAATTCAATGGAATTAATTACATTTACAATGATCATAAAATATTTCTCATGAAAGGAAGGCATTTAATGCTACAGGATTTTCTTTTGCTGTTAATATTATTAAGACAATTGTCATATCTGAATAAAGTCTGTAGGTTATGTATGTTTGTATCAAGATTAAGTTCCTGATCTTAAAATTTGCAGTGTGGTTTTCTAAAAGAATATCAGTGTGTGTAAGGCATTCAGACTGAAATATTTAGGGATCAAGATGCACCAGGTCTGCTATGATTCTCAGTATAGGTATTAGTGGAGGTTGAGAACCAGTGAATAAGATGATCTCTTTCAAACCTGATGCAGGGGAGACTGAAAGTTACCCTGTTTTAACTCCTCATAATGAGCTGTTTAATGAATAACTAGGACAGACTCTGCTATCAAAGTGTAATAATACACAAAAGGTCATATCTAAGATTAATCACTATTAATATCACTTGAAACATAGCCTCGTAGGTAAGAATGGACTGCTGCCACCGTGTCTTTCCAGCTAAGTTACACACATGTTCTTTGCCTTTCCTGCTCCTCCATCCAGCTCCTCAAGAATCCATCCCTTCCCTGCCACTAGGAACCTTCCACTTCAGGAGACTGCATTCCTCAGGGTCCCATTTTGCTCCAGCACCTTGTTCACATTCTTTAGGATCACAAAGCTGTACATGTCAGAGCCAGAGGAAAAACGGGAGATCACTGAATCCCACCCACTTGTGGAATATATAGGCTTCTCTGCTTTGCGTGGCCTCTCCTAAGTTTCTTATCTTGAGGACTTGTTTAAGCACCGCCCCCCCCACCATGCCTCCATTTCCACCCAGCAGGGACCACTCCATTTCCTGGGTGTCCCTAGAATGTCTCCTATGCTTGTCCACACAGTCTATTCCAGTTCACATCTTAATATATTTTCATATACCGTCATAAAGTGCTAATGATTTCATGTGTATAATTCTTATATTCTTTTTTTTTAAAGTAGGCTTCACACCCAGTGCAGAGCCCAATATGGTCTGAACTTACAACCCTGAGATCAATACATGAGCTGAGATAAAAAGTCAGACACTTAACTGATTGAGCCATCCAGGCGTCCCTATAATTCTTATATTCTTAACCATATAGTGAACTCCTAGTGCATAAGAATCTTTATTACCCCTAGTACAGATACTCATTAATATACAGTGAGTGCTGGAAAATGCTCACGTTGTATTAAGAATCTCATGCCATCTAATCAGAGCAACTGGTTTATTTACAAGAATGACTCAACAGAAAAACAAAAATGCACTTCAGCTTCTTCTTTCATGAACTGCCTAGACTATAAACTTGGAGAAAATTATTTCATTAGTCACCAATACATGAGGATCAAATGTTACTCTTTGTTTTCTACATGTATTGCTGACTCTTCAAATTTCTTTCTTTTCTCCTCAATGATTATCTCCAAGGAATTTAACTTTCCAACAACTTTAGAAATCTTCTGACATTTCTTTGTGACATCTGTGCTATAGGGACAGTCTTAGATAAAATAGAGTAAATTTAAGAAGTCATTATAATAATACAAAGCACTTTCCTTTTGGTTCATGTGCCAGGTAATCAATGAGCTGAAAATATAAATATAAATCTTTCCAGCAAAGAGAATAAAGAGGTTATTGTATGTAGAAAGGCAGGGGACTAGAGAATCCTCCTCCTTTCTACTACTTAATAACTGTGTTCCTTGAATGAAACATTTTGTTCCTCCTGTACATTGTTTTTTCATATCCTTAATGAAAAGGTGGTTTATACTCTGGAGTCTCTCATGACTTGTAACTGAATTTAGGGTTTCTAAAACTCCTTAGTAGAAAGGCCCTAGCTAGTTTAAGATATCCATATGGCTAGACCTATCAGGGCTATCGATAGTCTATACACTCATTTCTCTGATTCTAGTATTCTAGTCTCACCAAGGTAATTGCAAGAAGCAAGAATGCCAGGCGCACTGAACTCACTGAGATTCTCAGAGCCACACAGATGAAGAGGGAGAGGACAGAGAGGTAGATCTGGAGTCGCTTCCCACCAAACCTCTTCCTCAGATATTCTGGCATAGTCATCACCTGCAGAGACAGACATCGACAGGGATTCACCTTCAGAGCCCAGCGCATTCAGATTATTCAACACTTACTAAGTACTTATGTGCATCTGCACTTCTGTAACTGTACCTGGTACCTTAGGAATACAGAGGTGAGTAAAACACAGTCCCTTGGGAGAGCAGAAAGCCTGGAATAAACACAGGCATTGGAATCAGACAATCTTAGGATCCATTCCCAGGTCTGACATTTACTACAAGTGAGACCTTTGGAAATTGACAATTTCTCCAAACCTCCTTTTTCTCATCTATAAAGTAGGGATTTAATATGAAGGTATATGTAAAATACCCACAACAACACCAAATGCATGGTAGATGTTCAACAAATAATTTTTATTATTTTCATCAATAATTTTGCAGGCCAGTAAAAACAATATTACTTAAAAATAAGGAACCACAATTAATGGTTACATAATAAATTGATAATAAAACAAATTGCAAATATATATTTGGCATATGTGTATATATTTAATTTAAGTTTTAGTTAGTTAACATATGGTGCAATATTGGTTTCAGGAGTAGAATTCAGTGATTCATCACTTATGTACAACACCCAATGCTCATCACAGTTACCCTCTTTACTACCCATTACCCATCTAGCCCATCTCCCATCCACCTCTATTTGGGTATATATATGTGTGTGTGTGTGTGTGTGTGTGTGT